CAGCAGGCCCCTCTCCTCCATGGCGCGGCGCAGGTGCCGGCGGGCCTCCTTGCAGCGGGCCTCGTCCCGCCCCTCCTGCAACTCCCCCCGCTTGAAGAGGAAGGCCTGGCTGAGTGTGGACGGGGTGGGGGGTCTCCCCTGGGCGTCCCAAGGCAGACCCTCCCAGGCCGCCAGGAAGGCCTTCAGCCAGCGCACGTACGGGGGGTCCCCTTCCGAGACAGGGACACCCTTCTCTCCCTCTTCCGCGTCCAGGTCCTTCTCTTGTCGCCCCTCTTCTTCTTCCTCCTCCTCTTCCTCCTCCTGGCAAAGCATCGGGTGGAAGAAGAGGTCGCCCGCCTCGGAGAGATGGAAGACCACAAGGGACCGGTGGTGGTGGCCCCCCGGGACAAGGGCAGCCGCGATGCCTGCAAAAGAGGGGCAGGGGAAGGGAAAAGCGTGCAAGGGTCACCCATTGGGGGCTTCAGCCTCAAGGATCACCGCTCGTCTGACTCAGGAAACTTTATTTACTACCGTCCGCTCTCACCCCAAAGGGGACTCAGAGAAGCTTACAAGTCATACCTACATACAATACATTATATCTACATACAATACATTATATTATTAACATAGCACAACATTAGTATTATATATTGTATTATATTGTACTGTACCACAATACTACAATGTTATTGATAGATTGTATTATATAATATATAATTATTATATTATTAGTATTATATTCCACTACAGTATTATTAATATTATATGTACATACAATACATTATATTATCAGCATAGCACAGTATTAGTATTATATATTGTACTATACCACTACACCGCAATGTCATTAGCAATATTACATGTAATATATAATATATAATTATTATATTGTATTATTATTAGTATTATATTGTATTACAATATTACGATCAATATTATATGTACATACAATACATTATATTCTCAGCATAGCACAGTATTAGTATTATATATTGTACTATGTTGTACTATACCACAATACTGCAATGTTATTGGTAATACTGCTTGTATTATATAATATATAATTATTATATTAGTGTATTATTTAATCGTATTACAATACTACAATCAATATTATATGTACATATAATACATTATATTATCAGCATCGCACAATATTAGTATAATATATTGTACTATACCACTATACTGCAATGTTATTGGTAATACTGCTTGCATTATATAATATATAATTATTATATTATTGTATTATTATTAGTATTATATTGCACTATAATATTATGATCAATTATATATGTACATACATTATATTATCAGCATAGCACAATATTAGTATTATATATTGTACTATATTGTACTATACCACAATACTGCAATGTTATTGGTAATACTGCTTGCATTATATAATATATAATTATTATATTAGTGTATTATTAAATCGTATTACAATATTACAATCAATATTATATGTACATATAATACATTATATTATCAGCATAGCACAATATTAGTTTATAATATTACATATTATATAGTATATAATATTATATATTATATGTTGTACTATACCACAATACTGCAGATATTAGTAATATTGCATGTAATACATAATACATAAATATTATATTGTATTATTATTAGTATTATTATATTGTATTAAAATAGTATGATCAATATTATATGTATGTGCAATACATTATATTCTCAGCATAGCACAATATTAGTATTATATATTGTACTATACCACTATACAGCAATGTTATTAGCAATATTACATGTAATATATAATATATAATTATTATATTGTATTATTATTAGTATTATATTGTATTATAATATTACGATCAATATTCACTTCACTTTATTTATATTATATGTATTATTAGCATAGGACAGTATTAGTATTGTATTATTATTAGTATTATATTGTATTATTATTAGTATTATATTGCATTACAATATTACGATCAATATTCACTTCACTTTATTTATATTATATGTATTAGCAGCATAGGACAGTATTAGTATTATATATTGTACTATGTTGTACTATACCACTATACTGCAATGATATTAGTAATATTGTATGTAATACATAATACGTAAATATTATATTGTATTATTATTAGTATTATATGGTATTACAATATTATGATCAATATTATATGCACAAACTTTCTGGAGCAGGACAACTACTTTCAAAGTAGGGACCGAAGAATGAAACAGGAAATAACGTTGTCAAACCAAAACAGTTTTCAAATTGTGTTGCGGAATGTTGTTGGGAAGGGGGGACTCACCTGCGCTGGGGAGGGAGAGGCGCTGGCGGAGGGCGCTGAGTCGGAGGGGGGTCTGCAGGGGGAAGTGGGGCAGGCTGTCCCGGATGCAGGGCAGCCTCTGCGGGGGGCCCCACACCTGGCTGGGGGCGCTGCTGCCGCTTCCTAGAGAAAAGAACAACAACAACAATGCTAATTTAATTGTTAGAAATCACAACCTCCTTCAAGCCTCCACTCGTAATTTGTTTGGGTGTGTTCTTTGGTGTCCTAAGGAAAGTGACTCTACTCTGAGGTGTGACAGTGTGCATCTTTCCCTTTACTCTATCTTTCTTGAGGTTGTGGGAGGGGCTGCAGACCACACGATCAGATCTGGGGCTGCTCAGACTCCATTTTAGAACACAGAAATGCTTTAGCCATGGGCTGCAGACCACACGATCAGATCTGGGGCTGCTCAGAGCTCAGACTCCATTTTAGAACACAGAAATGCTTTAGCCATGGGCTGCAGACCACACGATCAGATCTGGGGCTGCTCAGACTCCATTTTAGAACACAGAAATGCTTTAGCCATGGGCTGCAGACCACACGATCAGATCTGGGACTGCTCAGAGCTCAGGCTCCATTTTAGAAAACAGAAATGCTTTAGCCATGGGCTGCAGACCACACGATCAGATCTGGGGCTGCTCAGAGCTCAGACTCCATTTTAGAACACAGAAATGCTTTAGCCATGGGCTGCAGACCACACAATCAGATCTGGGGCTGCTCAGACTCCATTTTAGAACACAGAAATGCTTTAGCCATGGGCTGCAGACCACACGATCAGATCTGGGGCTGCTCAGAGCTCAGACTCCATTTTAGAACACAGAAATGCTTTAGCCATGGGCTGCAGACCACACAATCAGATCTGGGGCTGCTCAGACTCCATTTTAGAACACAGAAATGCTTTAGCCATGGGCTGCAGACCACACGATCAGATCTGGGGCTGCTCAGAGCTCAGACTCCATTTTAGAACACAGAAATGCTTTAGCCATGGGCTGCAGACCACACGATCAGATCTGGGGCTGCTCAGACTCCATTTTAGAACACAGAAATGCTTTAGCCATGGGCTGCAGACCACACGATCAGATCTGGGGCTGCTCAGAGCTCAGACTCCATTTTAGAACACAGAAAAGCTTTAGCCATGGGCTGCAGACCACACGATCAGATCTGGGGCTGCTCAGAGCTCAGACTCCATTTTAGAACACAGAAATGCTTTAGTCATGGGCTGCAGACCACACAATCAGATCTGGGGCTGCTCAGAGCTCAGACTCCATTTTAGAACACAGAAAAGCTTTAGCCATGGGCTGCAGACCACACGATCAGATCTGGGGCTGCTCAGAGCTCAGACTCCATTTTAGAACACAGAAATGCTTTAGCCATGGGCTGCAGACCACACAATCAGATCTGGGGCTGCTCAGACTCCATTTTAGAACACAGAAATGCTTTAGCCATGGGCTGCAGACCACACGATCAGATCTGGGGCTGCTCAGAGCTCAGACTCCATTTTAGAACACAGAAATGCTTTAGCCATGGGCTGCAGACCACACAATCAGATCTGGGGCTGCTCAGAGCTCAGACTCCATTTTAGAACACAGAAAGGCTTTAGCCATGGGCTGCAGACCACACGATCAGATCTGGGGCTGCTCAGAGCTCAGACTCCATTTTAGAACACAGAAAGGCTTTAGCCATGGGCTGCAGACCACACGATCAGATCTGGGCTGCTCAGAGCTCAGACTCCATTTTAGAACACAGAAATGCTTTAGCCATGGGCTGCAGACCACACGATCAGATCTGGGGCTGCTCAGAGCTCAGACTCCATTTTAGAACACAGAAAGGCTTTAGCCATGGGCTGCAGGCCACATGATCAGATCTGGGGCTGCTCAGAACTCAGACTCCATTTTAGAACACAGAAATGCTTTAGCCATGGGCTGCAGACCACACAATCAGATCTGGGGCTGCTCAGAGCTCAGACTCCATTTTAGAACACAGAAAGGCTTTAGCCATGGGCTGCAGACCACACGATCAGATCTGGGGCTGCTCAGAGCTCAGACTCCATTTTAGAACACAGAAATGCTTTAGCCATGGGCTGCAGACCACACAATCAGATCTGGGGCTGCTCAGAGCTCAGACTCCATTTTAGAACACAGAAAGCTTTAGCCATGGGCTGCAGACCACACGATCAGATCTGGGGCTGCTCAGAGCTCAGACTCCATTTTAGAACACAGAAAGGCTTTAGCCATGGGCTGCAGACCACACGATCAGATCTGGGCTGCTCAGAGCTCAGACTCCATTTTAGAACACAGAAATGCTTTAGCCATGGGCTGCAGACCACACGATCAGATCTGGGGCTGCTCAGAGCTCAGACTCCATTTTAGAACACAGAAAAGCTTTAGCCATGGGCTGCAGACCACACGATCAGATCTGGGGCTGCTCAGAGCTCAGACTCCATTTTAGAACACAGAAATGCTTTAGCCATGGGCTGCAGACCACACAATCAGATCTGGGGCTGCTCAGAGCTCAGACTCCATTTTAGAACACAGAAATGCTTTAGCCATGGGCTGCAGACCACACAATCAGATATGGGGCTGCTCAGAGATCAGACTCCATTTTAGAACACAGAAAGGCTTTAGCCATGGGCTGCAGACCACACGATCAGATCTGGGGCTGCTCAGACTCCATTTTAGAACACAGAAATGCTTTAGCCATGGGCTGCAGACCACACGATCAGATCTGGGGCTGCTCAGAGCTCAGACTCCATTTTAGAAAACAGAAATGCTTTAGCCATGAGCTGCAGACCACACGATCAGATCTGGGGCTGCTCAGAGCTCAGACTCCATTTTAGAACACAGAAATGCTTTAGCCATGGGCTGCAGACCACACAATCAGATATGGGGCTGCTCAGAGATCAGACTCCATTTTAGAACACAGAAAGGCTTTAGCCATGGGCTGCAGACCACACGATCAGATCTGGGGCTGCTCAGACTCCATTTTAGAACACAGAAATGCTTTAGCCATGGGCTGCAGACCACACGATCAGATCTGGGGCTGCTCAGACTCCATTTTAGAACACAGAAATGCTTTAGCCATGGGCTGCAGACCACACAATCAGATCTGGGGCTGCTCAGAGCTCAGGCTCCATTTTAGAACACAGAAAAGCTTTAGCCATGGGCTGCAGACCACACGATCAGATCTGGGGCTGCTCAGAGCTCAGACTCCATTTTAGAACACAGAAATGCTTTAGCCATGGGCTGCAGACCACACAATCAGATCTGGGGCTGCTCAGAGCTCAGACTCCATTTTAGAACACAGAAAGGCTTTAGCCATGGGCTGCAGACCACACGATCAGATCTGGGCTGCTCAGAGCTCAGACTCCATTTTAGAACACAGAAAAGCTTGAGCCATGGGCTGCAGGCCACACAATCAGATCTGGGACTGCTCAGAGCTCAGACTCCATTTTAGAACACAGAAAAGCTTTAGCCATGGGCTGCAGACCACACGATCAGATCTGGGACTGCTCAGAGCTCAGGCTCCATTTTAGAAAACAGAAATGCTTTAGCCATGGGCTGCAGACCACACGATCAGATCTGGGGCTGCTCAGAGCTCAGGCTCCATTTTAGAACACAGAAATGCTTTAGCCATGGGCTGCAGACCACACGATCAGATCTGGGGCTGCTCAGAGCTCAGACTCCATTTTAGAACACAGAAATGCTTTAGCCATGGGCTGCAGACCACACAATCAGATCTGGGGCTGCTCAGAGCTCAGACTCCATTTTAGAACACAGAAAAGCTTTAGCCATGGGCTGCAGACCACACGATCAGATCTGGGGCTGCTCAGAGCTCAGACTCCATTTTAGAACACAGAAATGCTTTAGTCATGGGCTGCAGACCACACAATCAGATCTGGGGCTGCTCAGAGCTCAGACTCCATTTTAGAACACAGAAATGCTTTAGCCATGGGCTGCAGACCACACGATCAGATCTGGGGCTGCTCAGAGCTCAGACTCCATTTTAGAACACAGAAATGCTTTAGCCATGGGCTGCAGACCACACGATCAGATCTGGGACTGCTCAGACTCCATTTTAGAACACAGAAATGCTTTAGCCATGGGCTGCAGACCACACGATCAGATCTGGGGCTGCTCAGAGCTCAGGCTCCATTTTAGAACACAGAAATGCTTTAGCCATGGGCTGCAGACCACACGATCAGATCTGGGGCTGCTCAGAGCTCAGACTCCATTTTAGAACACAGAAATGCTTTAGCCATGGGCTGCAGACCACACAATCAGATCTGGGGCTGCTCAGAGCTCAGACTCCATTTTAGAACACAGAAAAGCTTGAGCCATGGGCTGCAGGCCACACAATCAGATCTGGGACTGCTCAGAGCTCAGACTCCATTTTAGAACACAGAAAAGCTTTAGCCATGGGCTGCAGACCACACAATCAGATCTGGGGCTGCTCAGAGCTCAGACTCCATTTTAGAACACAGAAAAGCTTGAGCCATGGGCTGCAGGCCACACAATCAGATCTGGGACTGCTCAGAGCTCAGACTCCATTTTAGAACACAGAAATGCTTTAGCCATGGGCTGCAGACCACACGATCAGATCTGGGGCTGCTGAGACTCCATTTTAGAACACAGAAATGCTTTAGCCATGGGCTGCAGACCACACGATCAGATCTGGGGCTGCTCAGAGCTCAGACTCCATTTTAGAACACAGAAAAGCTTTAGCCATGGGCTGCAGACCACACGATCAGATCTGGGACTGCTCACAGCTCAGACTCCATTTTAGAACACAGAAATGCTTTAGCCATGGGCTGCAGGCCACACGATCAGATCTGGGGCTGCTCAGACTCCATTTTAGAACACAGAAATGCTTTAGCCATGGGCTGCAGACCACACGATCAGATCTGGGGCTGCTCAGAGCTCAGACTCCATTTTAGAACACAGAAATGCTTTAGCCATGGGCTGCAGACCACACAATCAGATCTGGGGCTGCTCAGAGCTCAGACTCCATTTTAGAACACAGAAAGGCTTTAGCCATGGGCTGCAGACCACACGATCAGATCTGGGCTGCTCAGAGCTCAGACTCCATTTTAGAACACAGAAAAGCTTGAGCCATGGGCTGCAGGCCACACAATCAGATCTGGGACTGCTCAGAGCTCAGACTCCATTTTAGAACACAGAAATGCTTTAGCCATGGGCTGCAGACCACACGATCAGATCTGGGGCTGCTCAGAGCTCAGACTCCATTTTAGAACACAGAAATGCTTTAGCCATGGGCTGCAGACCACACGATCAGATCTGGGGCTGCTCAGAGCTCAGACTCCATTTTAGAACACAGAAATGCTTTAGCCATGGGCTGCAGACCACACGATCAGATCTGGGGCTGCTCAGAGCTCAGACTCCATTTTAGAACACAGAAAAGCTTTAGCCATGGGCTGCAGACCACACGATCAGATCTGGGACTGCTCACAGCTCAGACTCCATTTTAGAACACAGAAATGCTTTAGCCATGGGCTGCAGGCCACACGATCAGATCTGGGGCTGCTCAGACTCCATTTTAGAACACAGAAAAGCTTTAGCCATGGGCTGCAGACCACACGATCAGATCTGGGGCTGCTCAGAGCTCAGACTCCATTTTAGAACACAGAAATGCTTTAGCCATGGGCTGCAGGCCACACGATCAGATCTGGGGCTGCTCAGAGCTCAGACTCCATTTTAGAACACAGAAATGCTTTAGCCATGGGCTGCAGACCACACGATCAGATCTGGGACTGCTCAGACTCCATTTTAGAACACAGAAATGCTTTAGCCATGGGCTGCAGACCACACGATCAGAGACTCCATCAGATACCATGCAGACTTTGGACACTGCGGCCTTCCAGCTGTTTCGGCCTTCAACTCCCAGAATTCCTGACAATTGAACAAGCTCATTAGGGCTTCTGGGAGTTGGAGACCCAAACATCTGGAGGGCCGAGGTTGGAGGATGTCACATCAAGAACATTGTCCAAAGTCTACATGGTATCTGATGGAGTCCGGTCAGTCAGTTTGGCCAAAGTCTGGCCCCAGGCCCCTCCCTTCCCCCCTGCAGAGCCTTCCCCTGGGCCAAAGGGTGAGGCCCCTGACCCACCTGTGTACTGCACCATGGCGAGCTCCTGCGAGTGGTGGGCCCCCAGGATCAGCTTGTGGCTCTGGTGGGGCCCCCCGGCGGGGAGCAGCTGGGCGAAGAGGGGGGGCCGCTCCATCATGTGCTCCCAGCGGAGGAGGGGCACCAGCGGGAAGCGCTCGTCCAGCAGGAAGAGGCAGAACTGGAACGGAAGAGAGCGTCACCAGCATTATTTATTTTATCATGTCATCAGCAACCAGACATTTGTATTACATTTCTAACAAAAACAAACAAACAAACAGACAAAACACAAAGTTTGCAAGCTTGGTAGTTGATTAAAAGTCCTTTGACCAGTCTGGCACTTGGAGTGCTTCTGGTGTTGCTGCAAGAAGGTCCTCCATTGTGCATGTGGCAGGGCTCAGGTTGCATTGCAGCAGGTGGTCAGTGGTTTGCTCTTCTCAGCACTCGCATGTCATGGATTCCACTTTGTAGCCCCATTTCTTAAGATTGGCTCTGCATCGTGGTGCCGGAGCGCAGTCTGTTCAGCGCCTTCCAAGTCACCCAGTTCTTCTGTGTGCCCAGGGGGGAGTCTCTCATCTGGTATCACCCACGGATTGAGGTGCTGGGTTTGAGCCTGCCACTTTTGGACTCTCGCTTGCTGAGGTGTTCCAGCGAGGGTCTCTGTAGATCTAAGAAAACTATTTCTAGATTTAAGTCATTGACATGCTGGCTGATTCCCAAACAGGGGATGAGCTGGAGATGTCTCTGCCTTGGTCCTTTCACTATTGGCTGCTACTTCCCGGCGGATGTCAGGTGGTGCGATACCTGCTAGACAGTGTAATTTCTCCAGTGATGTAGGGCGCAGACACCCCATGATGATGCGGCATGTCTCATTAAGAGCCACATCTACTGTTTTAGTGTGGTGAGATGTGTTCCACACTGGGCATGCGTACTCAGCAGCAGAGTAGCATAGCGCAAGGGCAGATGTCTTCACTGTGTCTGGTTGTGATCCCCAGGTTGTGCCAGTATGATATTGTTTCTAGCACCCACTTTTTGCTTGATGTTCAGGCAGTGCTTCTTGTAGGTCAGAGCACGGTAAGGCTTCTCTCATGTCCCGTTATAATAAAAGTAATTCTGTCTCGCTGCCTGGCAGAAATAAGGGGACTGGGCTGGATGGCCTCCCGGAATGCCTTCCAACTCTAGGAATATTATTATTATTATTATTATTATTATTATTATTATTATTCAGCTATCAGACGTCTCAGAGATCTCACACAATTTCACATCTACTGTACATGGATGACCTGAAACTGTATGGGAAAACCGAAACCGAAATCCAGTCTCGGACTAACACTGTCCAAATCTTTAGCACAGATATCAACATGGAGTTTGGTTTGGACAAATGTTCGACAGTGGCACCGAAGAAGGGAAAAATCATTGAAAGTGAGGGCATAAATGTGCCCAATGGCCAAGCGATCAAGGGTCACCAGGCCAGAGGCCTATAAATATCTGGACAGACTACAGCTGGACAACATCAAACATGAACATGTGAAAACTGTGGTCAGCAAAGAATATATTCAAAGGGTCAGAAAAATTCTCCAAAGCAAGCTCAATGGAGGCAACACCATCAAGGCCATCAACACCTGGGCCATATTTGTATCCCGCCCTTCTCAGCCCTCTGGCGACTCAGGGCAGTTTACAATGGCAACGATCTCGATGCCCAAAAACACCATAAAACATTTTAAAACATTAACACGTCATATAAAACCATAACAAAAATATTAAAACATAGATCATTTGCGTCTCTTAATAGAAACACATTGTCCCATCTCCTCGTCCAGTCGTTCCAATTCCTTTTTACCTGGCATTTTCAAATTAAACCAGGCATGGGCCAACTTCAGCCCTCCCTCCAGGTGTTTTGGACTCCAACTCCCACAATTCCTACTACAGTTCCCAGAAGTCCTCAGTCTGCAAATGCTATTAGGAAGTTAGCTTACAAGGTATATGTTGTAACTCAGCGTCCTGGTAGTGAAGCTACTATTAGGAGAAGGAGGAGAAGCAGTGATGCACAGTTGGAGGAGGAGCAGCGTCAGCTGGAACGCATTAGGGATGTTATTATGGCACCCAGTGATTCTGATGACTTTGCAGGGTTTGGACCCGAAGAAATAGAAGTAGTGGACTACAGGGGAGTAAAACGCTTTGCCAGTGAGACTGACAGTGATGAGGAGTTAATGAGCAAACGGCTTAAAGACATAGCCGATAATTACAGTTCGGATGAACAGGGATCCAGTGATGGGGAAATGGAAGAGGAGCTGGATGGGACTCGGGTTAGGGAAATTCAGGACATATGTACACAGCCCACGTCTAGCGATGAATTGGAGGGGTTTCATGATACTTGGCAGGCAGGTACTTCTTGGGAGGATTCTGGACAAGACCAACGCTGGCAGCGCTGGCGAGGTAATGAGCCAGCAGCTGAAGATAATGATCCAGGTGTAAGTGATGATAGTCAATCTAGCGATAGCGACTGCTGATAAAATGAGGGCTTTGGGATGGGTAGTTTCGCAGAGGACAAAGCGTTGTATCAGGTGTTTTGTGCTGCCTTACCTTCGTTTGGGTCCTGGGAATACAGCTATCGTGTTATCGTGTGCCTCGACTCTGGATTGGACTACGTGAGTGACTTCGCCTTGCCCTTGACTTCAGAACGTTTCCTGACCACGCCATCTACCTTTTGGATTCTCCTTGCTGCCTTATTCCGTGTATGATCCAGGACTGTTTGACTACGCAGCTGCCATTGCCAGTTTTGTTCCAGCTTTCCTTTTTTGGGTGACTGAGTTCTGGGAAAGTCCGGCTTTTCCTCCCTTTTATTTATTTTATTTATTTATTTACTTTATTTGTATACTGCACTCTCTCAGCCCGTAAGCGACTCAGTGCGGTTTACAACCAGGTCAATATACAAGTGCACAACAATAGTATTAGCATTTAAAACAATAACTAAAGCAACAGTCTGGCTTCAGGCCGGGACATGGTACCGAGACAGCCTTGGTCGCCTTAGTGGATGATCTCCGTCAGGAGCTCGACAGGGGGAGTGTGTCCCTGTTGGTGCTACTCGACCTCTCAGCGGCCTTCGATACCGTCGACCACGGTATCCTTCTGGGACGCCTCGCGGGAATGGGTCTCGGAGGTACTGTTCTGCAGTGGCTCCGGTCATTTCTCGAGGGTCGGTCTCAGAAGGTGTTACTGGGGGACTCCTGTTCTACCCCACAACCGTTGTTTTGTGGGGTTCCTCAGGGTTCAATACTGTCCCCCATGCTGTTCAACATCTACATGAAGCCACTGGGCGAGATCATCCGGAGTTTCGGGGTACGGTGTCATCTGTACGCAGATGATGTCCAGCTCTGTCACTCCTTCCCACCTGCTACTAAGGAGGCTGTCGAAGTCCTGAACCGGTGCTTGGCTGCTGTGACGGTCTGGATGGGGGCGAACAAATTGAAATTGAATCCAGACAAGACAGAGGTACTCCTGGTCAGTCGTAAGGCCGAACAGGGTATAGGGTTACAGCCTGTGTTAGACGGGGTCGCACTCCCCCTGAAGACACAGGTTCGCAGTTTGGGTGTGATCCTGGACTCATCGCTGAGCCTGGAACCCCAGGTTTCGCCGGTGACCAGGGGAGCATTCGCACAGTTAAAACTCGTGCGCCAACTGCGACCGTACCTTGGGAAGTCTGACTTGGCCACGGTAGTCCACGCTCTGGTTACATCCCGCCTTGACTACTGCAACGCTCTCTACGTGGGGTTGCCTTTGAAGACAGCCCGGAAGCTCCAACTAGTCCAACGGGCGGCAGCCATGGTACTAACAGGAGCAGGGCGCAGGGAGCATACAACTCCTCTGCTGTACCAGCTCCACTGGCTGCCGATTAGCTACCGAGCCGAATTCAAAGTGCTGGTTTTGACCTTTAAAGCCCTAAACGGTTCTGGCCCTACCTACCTATCCGAACGTATCTCGGCCTATCAGCCCACCAGGACCCTAAGATCTTCAGGAGAGGTCCTTCTCTCTATCCCACCTGCTTCACAGGTGCGGCTCGTGGGTACGAGAGATAGGGCCTTTTCTGTGGTGGCCCCCCGGCTTTGGAATGCCCTCCCTATGGAAATAAGATCAGCCACCTCGCTAATGGCATTTCGGAAAAAACTTAAAACTTGGATGTTCCAGCAAGTTTTTGGCTAACTTGACTTGATGATGTTTGTTCATGGATTAGCAACCTCGGACGACGAATTGGATTGTTGACGTTAATAATGAGATGTTCTGGACTGTATTGGTGGCCCAATACTATGTATGTATATGTATGTATTTTATAGTGTAATTTTTATATTAAATTGTAATATTGTAGTTTTAATTATGCTGTAAACCGCAATGAGTCGCCATACAGGCTGAGATATTGGCGGTATATAAGCGCACCAAATAAATAAATAATAAATAAATAAATAAGCAACTAAATCACATAGCAAAACATCAGTATAACAATATAACAACAATACATCCATATAACTAATCCATCACGTCTCATCAATAAAGTCATAATCCGATCTCCTCGTCTATTATTCCAAGTTCCAAGTTCCAATCTCAATCAATTGATTGCACTGCTTAATTAAACGCCTGTTCAAAGAGCCAGGTCTTCACTCTTCTCCTGAACGCCAGCAAGGAGGGGGCCGATCTGATGTCTGCGGGAAGGGCATTCCACAGCCGAGGGGCCACCACTGAGAAGGCCCTGTCTCTCGTCCCCGCCAGCCGTGCCTGCGAGGCTGGCGGGATCGAGAGGGCCTCCCCGGACAATCTTAATGTCCTAACTGGTTCATAGGGGGTGATGCGTTCGGACAGATAGGTCGGGCCAGAACCGTTTAGGGCTTTAAAGGCTTTGAATTGTGCCCGGTAGCAAACTGGCAGGCAGTGGAGCTGGCGCAACAGAGGAGTGATGTGCTCCCTGAGTGCCGCTCCCGTTAGCAACCTGGCTGCCGCCTGCTGGACCATCTGAAGCTTCCGAGCAGTCTTCAAAGGCAACCAACGTAGAGAGCGTTGTAGTAGTCTATACGGGATGTAACCAGTGGACCGTGGACTACCGTGGCCAAGTCAATTCCCAAGGTACGGGCGCAACTGGCGCACAAGTTTTAATTGTGCAAATGCTCCCCTTGTAACCGCTGAAACCTGGGGTTCCAGGCTCAGCGATGAGTCCAGGGTCACACCCAAGCTGCGAACCTGCGCCTTCAAGGGGAGTGCGACCCCGTCCAGCACAGGCTGTAACCCTATACCCTGCTCAGCCTTGCGACTGACCAGGAGTACCTCTGTCTTGTCTGGATTTAGTTTCAGCTTGTTCGCCCCCATCCAGACCATTACAGCGGCCAGGCACCGGTTCAGGACTTCGACAGCCTCCTTAGTAGCAGGTGGAAAGGAGTGACAGAGTTGGACATCATCTGCGTACAGATGACACCGCACCCCGAAACTCCGGATGATCTCCCCAACGGCTTCATGTAGATGTTAAACAACATAGGAGACAAGATTGAACCCTGAGGAACCCCACAAGACAATGGTTGTGAGGTAGAACAGGTGTCTCCCAATAACACCTTCTGAGATCGACCCTCTAGGAAGGACCGGAGCCACTGTAAGACAGTTCCTCCAAGGCCCATTCCCGCGAGGCGTCCCAGAAGGAAACCGTGGTCGACAGTATCAAAGGCCGCTGAGAGGTCCAGCAGAACCAACAGGGACACACTCCCCCTGTCGAGCTCCCGGCGCAGATCATCCACTAAGGCGACCAAGACTGTCTCAGTTCCATGTCCCGGCCTAAAGCCAGACTGCGCCGGATCCAGATAATCCGTGTCGTCCAAGAATACCTGGAGTTGTGAGGCCACCACACGTTCCAGGACTTTGCCCAAAAAGGGAAGATTGGAAACTGGCTGAAAGTTGTCGAATTGAGTGGGGTCCAGTGATGGTTTTTTCAACAGCGGTTTTATTACAGCTTGTTTTAAGCTCGCTGGAATTTTGCCTTGCTGAATTCAAAGTGCTGGTTTTGGCCTTTAAAGCCCTAAACGGTTCTGGCCCAACTTATCTATCCGAACGTATCTCAGCCTATCAGCCCACCAGGACCCTAAGATCTTCTGGAGAGTCCCTGCTCTCTATCCCACCGGCTTCCCAAGTGCGGCTGGTGGGAACGAGAGACAGGGCCTTTTCTGTGGTGGCCCCTCGGCTTTGGAACACCCTCCCTATAGAGATACGATCAGCCTCTTCGCTGATGGTGTTTCGGAAGAGATTAAAAACATGGTTGTGTAAACAAGCATTCGGTTAGTTTGTTATCACCGAATTTTATGGACTAAGGACTGGTTAATTATGGATGACGAATTCTGGACTGTGATTTTAGTGACGAGATACATGGTATTATTATTGGTGGCCCAATAATTTGTATTGTCTATGTGTTGTTGTTTTAAATTGTATATTGTTTTTAATTGTTGTAAACCGCAATGAGTCGCCGACTTAGGCTGAGATATTAGCGGTATACAAGTGTATTAAATAAATAAATATTAAATAACCACCACCTTCACCCACTCGGCCAATCCCCCTCTGGCTTGCTTTAAAAGCCAGGATGGACAGGGGTCTAGGATGCATGTGGTAGGCCTCATCCCTCCCAGTATCTTGTCCACATCCTCGGGTTTCACCAATTGAAATGAATCCATCAAAACCGGGCAAGCAGATGCTCCAGCTACATCCTCAGAGACTGCCGTTAATATGGCATCCAGCCCAGAACGAATCAAAGCGACTTTGTCCGCGAAGAACCGAGCAAAAGCTTCACAGCGGGCTACCGAGTTGTCAGGGCTCCCATCCTGAGTGGTGGGGTTTAAAAGGCCTCTGACAACTCGGAATAGCTCCGCCGGACGGTTCTTCGCAGACGCAATAGTGGCCGCGAAGAAAGATTTCTTTGCGGCCTTTATTGCCGCGGCGTATGACCTTAAAAAGGACACAAACCTTTTGTTTACCTGCTTGAAGGCTTTTGTGTTGCTAATCAGTACTGCAGTTTAAGTGCTATTAGCCTTGTTAAAGACCTATTAAAGACTCTGTTAACCCCTTACTAGCTGTGTTGGACAATCTTTGGGCTCTGGGTCATGACAGTATATATTACATACAATATATTATATTATATATTACATACAATATATAATATAATATATATTACAGTATATAATATATTACATACAATGTATTATATTCTTAGCATAGAACAATATCAGCATTAAACATTGCTGTACTGCACCATACCACTATATCGTAATATTATTAGTAATATTATATGCCTGCATCTATGGCAAGCATCCTCAGAGGTTGTGAGGTCCATAGATGCAGGCGAAACATAAGGAGAGAATGCCTCTAGAACATGGCCATATAGCCCGAAAAACCTACAACAACCCAGTGATTCCAGCCATGAAAGCCTTCAACAGTTACTGTTACTTGTTAACACAAGCCCGAGGATACTTTATTATACTGCAGGGTATATTTTGGTTCAGAAACTGTGGTAAAGCTTCTGTTTATTTACATTTACAACCCCAACAATATGGACAGTGACACCTCCCCATCGTCTCTCTTCCACAAAGGTCCCAATTGATGCCTCCCCACTTGGGCCAGGCTCTGAGTGGGGATTGGGGCGTTGTGTTAGGGGAGACTCACCTGAGAGGCCAGCAGGTGCTGGAAGGGGTGTGCCTGGCCCAGGTACTTGGAGAGCACCAGCCGCTCCCCCCGCTGGCATTCCGCTTCCGCCCCCACCTTGAAGAGGTCGAAGGGAGAGCCAGAGCCCACCTGGAGGGAGGCAAGGAAGAAAGAAAGGGCAGGTGAGGCAAGGGCAGGGCACACACACACACACACACAGGTGGAGGATGTTGCACTCCAGGTCCACCCCTGTTGCACCTCTCTGACTTAAAACACACCACACAAAGAGTGAAGAATCAAATCTTCTTTTATTGAAGCTTAGTAAATAGCCAGAAGAAATAAATGCTTGTAAGAAAATCAGAAGGTTCCAAAAAGTATTCGTCCATTCAAAGTGCTGGTTTTAACCAATAAATCCCTATACGGTTCCGGCCCAGTTTACTTGTCCGAACGTATTCTCCCCTCTGAACCATCAAGAACATTAAGATCTTCCGGAGAGGCCCTGCGCTCAGTCCTACCACCTTCGCAAGCGCGTTTGGTGGGAACGAGAGACAGGGCCTTCTCTGTGGTGGTCCCTCAGCTATGGAACTCTCTCCTGAGGGAGAGCAGATCTGCCCCCTCCCTCTTGTCCTTCAGGAGGCTAGTGAAAACCTGGTTATGGAACCAAACATTCCCAGAATAATGTCTGAGACCGGTTAAAGACCAAGGTGAGTGACCACATATGCGGACTGAGTTGAACATGATTTCAGCACCGGGATTGTGGCACAGCTGGCTGAGTGTCAGCTGCATTAAGATCACTCTGACCAAAAAGGTCATGAGTTCGAAGCCAGCCCGGGTTGGAGTGGGTTTCCAATCAATTGTGTGTAGCCTGTTGTTGACCTTTGCAACCCAAAAGACAGTTGTATCTGTCAAGTAGGAAAATTAGGTACCACCTTAAAGTGTGGGGAGGCTAAATTAGCTGATTTATGAGGCCATAAAGAAGACTCCAGCAAAAAGCATTCCAGCGGGGAAGCATGCGGGAATGTGGAAGTTCTTCATCAGCGTCGCAGATGGACGAGGAAAGTGACAGCTCTCCCGGCGGCCAGAAAAAATTAAATAACCTCTGTCTATGTCTGTATATGTTTATATGTCAAAAATTGGCATTGAATGTTTGTCATGTATGTGTACACTGTAATCCGCCCTGAGTCCCCTGCGGGGTGATAAGAAGGGCGGAATATAAATATTGTAAATAAATAAATAAATATCTTGGCAATTTGATATATGTATTTTTCTATATGTATTTTAATCTTGTATTATTGTATGATGTTTTAACTTGTATTGGTAGCATTCAATCCTTGCTGTAAGCTGGTCTGAGTCCCTCTATGGAGGTGAGAAGATTGGGATAGAAAAGTTTTTAATAATAATAATAATAATAAGTAGTAACCCAAAGCAATGTCCACACAAGATATACAGGCAATCTAAGACAGCGTTAATCCAGACAGGAATCAAGCAGGATGCAAAGACAATCCAAAAGGCTAAAAGATACTCCACAGAAACAAGATCCCTTGAACAAGACTTCCATGGCACAAGAACTTGGTTTCCAAACGATGCCTGATCTGACAAGATTTTCTACAGGCAAACCTTCAATCCCAAAAACTGGTTTCGTTTTCCCCCACTCTTCGACTTTAATTGACGAATTCTTTTGGATCTATGTAAACATTGGGTCTCTTGTCGATTCTGGCTAATCTCCAGCTGCCGACTCTGCTTATCCGACTCCTCATGAACTTTACCAGGTGTCAGACTGTTTTCCGAACTAGAATCTGGAGAGCTCACAGGCGGAGGGAGTAAACCTTTCTCCCAAGGCCTGACAGAAACATTCTCATTGTTGTGGCTCAGTCTGAGCCTGAGCTTTCTGAGCCTGAGTTTCCTCAGGACAAGGAGGATGATGGGTAACAGACTTCTGGGTTACTGAGAAGGGGCCTGAGATTGGTCTGTTGGCTAGTGGAGTTAGCTAGTAGAAAGAATCTAGAGTTTTTAGGGAAATAGCTGGTAGAGGAAGGAAAAGATAGATCCAGGATAGGACTATCTGTGCTGGTGTAGATTTACTGTCAGAGAAGCAATCCTGTCAGTATTTCTGTGGAGGGAGAAAGAGTTTCTGTGTAACTAAGTCTGAACTGCTTTATGGAACCACACACTTTTAAGTCAGTATTTTTGAAACAGCTAAGCTTTGTTCTGTTAAATAAACACCATTGTTTTGTAGTTCACAACAACTGCCTCACGTGTGCTTCTGTGGGTGAGGTTTGATAAAGATTCCTGCAGTAATCAAGAACTTAATGGTGGCAGCGTAGAGTTTAAAGAGCAATCTTTTAGTGTTACCTCAGAAACACAAGCCTGAGGGCTAATCCAACACACTCTTGCCTAAGATACTTCCAAGTAAGCCAAGGGCTTATCAGTGCTTCTAAGTTGGTGGGTGCCAGAGAGTTCTTTCGAAAGGGGTTTTTCGGCCAAGATGGAACAAGTTCCAGCTTTTCTTTACAGCTTTTTGTTTTGGGGTTTTTAGTCAGAGAAGCCACATTCAATCTTAAGTGGTGTCCTGTTGTTGTTTTGGGATTTTTATTTACCCCAAACTAAGCCCCATCTGTTATATTTTGGTGGCAAGCGCTGGGATTTGTCCAAAAATAAATCCCTATTTATTATTCCGAGCATGCAAAGGCCGTGCTCCCCTCTGGCGTCCCCTTTTCCCCCGGGAGACCCTCACTCACCCTCTGGTCGAGGCCCACCAGGCCGGTCCGGTCGGCCAGAGTGAGCACCTGCGGGTGGGCAGTGAACTCGCTCCAGCGCCAGGGAGAGGGGTCGCGGAAGAACTTGGTCTCCTTGTCCTGGTGCAGGAGCCGGAGCCTGGAGAGGGAGAGAGACCCCAATGGCCCAAGTGTAAAGGACCCCCCCTTGAAACAGGGACCCCCCCACTCCACATCCCTTGAACCCTCTGCTCCCTTTGTATCCCCAAAGGAGAGGGGACCCTTCCTCCAGGAAGAAGGGCCAGGCTTTAAAGTGGGGTCCCAGAAGCCCCACAAGGCTCTGTCCAAGAAGAGGAAGGAAGGAAGGAAGAGGCAGGCAAACAGGTGTGCCACCTACCTGGCTTCCACGTCCCACAGGTAGACGGCTCCACGTTGGGTGCAGAAGGAGAGCTGGCCTGGCAGGTGGGGGCTGCGTGGAAAAAGGGGCTGGGGTCAGAAGGGGGGGCTCCTGTCTGTCAGGAAGACAGGCCCCACCCACAGCCTCACAACCCCCTCCCATTCCACAGCACAGCCTCAGCCAGGACAGAGGGCCTCGTCTTCTCTTTCCTTGCAGGGCTGGATGGCCATCTGCCGGGAGTGCTTTGGATGTGTTGAACTAGATGGTTTCTAACGACACCATCTAGTTCAACACAGGTAGTTCAGGTAGAGAAGGAAGGAAGGAAGGAAGGAAGACAGGAGAAAAGGAAAGAGAAAAGGGAAGGAAGGAGAGAGAAAGAGAGAGAAAGAGAGAGGGAGGGAGGGAGGGAGGGAGGGAGAGGAAGGAAGGAAGGGAAGGAAGGAAGAAGGAAGGAAGGAAGGAAGGAAGGAAAGAAAGAAGGAAGGAAAAGGGAGGAGGAGGAGAAAAGGAAGAAAAAGAAGGAAGGAAGGAAGGAAGGAAGGAAGGAAGGAAGGAAGGAAGGCGAGAGGAAAGAAAAAAGGGAAAGAAGGAAGGAAAGAGGGAGCGAAGGAAGGGGGAAGATGTAGAGAAAGAGGGAGGGAAGGAAAGAAGGAAGGAAGGAGAGAAAGAAAAGGAAAGGAAAGAGACAAAGAAAGGAAAGAATATGATAGGAAAGGAAAGGAAGAAAAAAGAAAGGAAGGGAGGAAGGAGAGAAAGAAAGGGAAGGAAAGAAAAAAGGGAAGGAAGGAGAGAAAGGAAGGAAAGGAATGAAAGAAGGAAGGAAGGAGATAAAGGAAGAAAGAAGGAAAGGAAAAAGATAGGAAGGAAGGAGAGAAAGAAAAGGAAAGGAAAGAGACAAAGAAAGGAAAGAATATGATAGGAAAGGAAAGGAAGAAAAAAGAAAGGAAGGGAGGAAGGAGAGAAAGAAAGGGAAGGAAAGAAAAAAGGGAAGGAAGGAGAGAAAGGAAGGAAAGGAATGAAAGAAGGAAGGAAGGAGATAAAGGAAGAAAGAAGGAAAGGAAAAAGATAGGAAGGAAGGAGAGAAAGAAAAGGAAAGAGACAAAGAAAGGAAAGAATATGATAGGAAAGGAAAGGAAGAAAAAAGAAAGGAAGGGAGGAAGGAGAGAAAGAAAGGGAAGGAAAGAAAAAAGGGAAGGAAGGAGAGAAAGGAAGGAAAGGAATGAAAGAAGGAAGGAAGGAGATAAAGGAAGAAAGAAGGAAAGGAAAAAGATAGGAAGGAAGGAGAGAAAGAAAAGGAAAGAGACAAAGAAAGGAAAGAATATGATAGGAAAGGAAAGGAAGAAAAAAGAAAGGAAGGGAGGAAGGAGAGAAAGAAAGGGAAGGAAAGAAAAAAGGGAAGGAAGGAGAGAAAGGAAGGAAAGGAATGAAAGAAGGAAGGAAGGAAGAAGGAGGAAGGAGGAAGAAAGGAAGGAGGAAGGAAAAGGAAGAAAAAAGGAAGGAAGGAAAGAAGGAAGGAAGGAGAGGTAGAGAAGGAAGAAGGAAGGGAGAAGGAAAGAAAAAAGGGAAGGAAGGAGAAGAGAGAAAGGAACAGAAAGAGGGAGGGAGGGAGGGAGGAAGGAAGAAGGAGGAAGGAAGGAAGGAAGGAAGGAAGGAGGTAGAGAAGGAAGGAAGGAAGGCAAGAAAGGGAAGGAAGGAAGAAAGAAAGAAGGAGGAAGGAAGAGGGAGGGAGGAGGGGAAGGAAGGAAGGAAAGAAGGAAGGCGAAGGAAGGGGGAGGGAGGGAAGGCAGGCAGTGTATCAGTAAAGAAAAAGGTAATGAAGGAGCGCCCTGCAAACGCAGAGCAAGAGGTAAAGAGGAGGGAGGGAGAAGGAAGGAAGGACGAGGAAGGAAGGAAAGGAAGGAGGAGAGGAAGGAAGGTGGAGGAGGGAAAGGAAGGAATAGAACGGCCAGGAGCGAACGACCTAAGCCAGATAACTGAATTGCATTTAAGGGAGGGAGGGAGGAGAAAGAAAGGAAGGAGGTAGAGAAGGAAGGAAGGTGAGAAGGAAAGAAAAAAGGGAAGGAAGGAGAGAAAGAAAGAAGGAAAGAAAGAAAGAGGGAGGGAAGATTGGCCACAGTAACGCGTGGCGGGTAAAGCTAGTATATAATAATATATAATAATAATGCAACAATACTTCTAATATCCTAGGCCTTTGGGAAGAGATGAATCCCAGACACTTGGACCTAATGTGCATTAAGTCTAGTTCTGCCTGACTCTGGGCAGTGGTGCGCATCTCCATTCCTAAGCCAAAGAGCCGGCGTTGTCCATAGACGCCTCCTAGGTCATGTGGCTGGCATGACTGCATGGAGTGCTGTTACCTTCCCGGAGAAGTGGTACCTATTGATCTACTTATTGAGATGACAACAGGAGTTTTGGTCGGCAAGTTCAGCAGCTCAGCAGTTTAATCTACTGCACCACCATGGGCTGTAAATATAATACATATAAATATAATAATAATAATAATAATAATAATAATAATAATAATAATATGTCAGGAGTACTTTGAATGTGTTTTTTCTGCATGGCAGAGGGTTGGACTAGATGGGTGACTTTGGGGATCTCTTCCATCTCTAGGATTCTAGGTAAAAGTAAAGGCTGTCCCCTGACATGAAGCCCAGTCGTGTCCGACTCTGGGACTCTGGTGCTCATCTCCATTTCTAAGCTGAAGAGCCGGCGTTGTCCTCAGACACCTCCAAGGTCATGTGGCCAGCATGACTGCAAGGAGTGCCGTTACCTTCCTGCCAGAGCAGTACCTATTTATCTACTCACATTTGCATCTTTTTGAACTGCTAGGTTGGCAGAAGCTGGGGCTAACGGTGGGAGCTCACTCGACTCCCCGGATTCAAACCTGCTACCTTTCAGTCAACAAGTTTAGCAGCTCTAGCAGTTTAACCAACTGCAAGAAAAGCACGAGGCTGGTCAGGAGACCTTGCCCTCCAGGCCAAGGAGGGCCACTCACCTGACGGAGATGGAAGAGCAGGGGGCTTCTGTGGCCACCACCTCTAATGGCTCTGGCACTTCTCCTGGCCGCAGCCTCCAGGCCCCGCAGTGGTAGTCCGAGCGCACCCCCAGGAAGTCTGCGTTGGGGACAGAGCACAGGGGTCAGCCAAGGGCAGAGTGACCGGTGGGGCAGAGGGCAAAGGGGGAGGGGCTCTCAGATTCACACTCACCGCAGCCGTCCACCTGTGCGGACGCCACCTGCTGCACCATGCCGTTCAGCTCAAACCGCGCCGGAGAGCCCAGGGTCCGAGGGGCCAAGCGGCCGGAGGGGCCCCGCTTCAGAACCACCTCCTGGAAGCCTTGGAGGGAAGAGTTCAGGAAGGGCAACCAGAGCGAGAGGGACCGGGCCAAGGGAGGCCATGGCCAGCAGGGAAGGAACATCGATTTCTATATAGAGCTCAAGGAGTCCTGTGGAGCAGGCATGGGCCAACTTTGGCCCTCCTTCCAGGTGTTTTGGACTTCAACTCCTACCAGCTGTTAGGAATTGTGGGAGTTGGAGCCCAAAACACCTGGATGGAGGGCCAAAGTTGGCCCATGTATTGGAAATTCCATAAGCTATTGGCAGGGTTTCATACTTCAAACTTTAACAACACAACCGTTCAATGCTAAGGCTTCCTGCCAAAATGGAACTGTAGAGGAGAGACTACTGAACAAGCCAGTACCTGCCGCATACGTTGCTTAAGTCGCATTGACTGACCGTCTACGCAGGGTTCCATACTTCACACTTTAACAACACAACCGTTCAATGCTAAGGCTTCCCGCCAAAACGGAACTGTAGAGGAGAGTCTACTGGACAAGCCAGTACCTGCCGCATACCAGTACTGCCATCTGTTGAGGAGTTACAAAGGTGGAGGCATTACTTTTCATTACTTTTGGGGTGACACCTTCTGGTGTCAATAATTCAATGACTGCACGTTGCTTAAGTCGCATTGACTGACCGTCTGAGCAGGGTTCCATACTTCACACTTTAACAACACAACCATTAAATGCTAAGGCTTTCCACCAAAAAGGAACTGTAGAGGAGAGTCTGCTGAACAAGCCAGTACCTGCCGCATACCAGTACTGCCATCTGTTGAGGAGTTACAAAGGTCCGTTCAGTACTAAGGCTTCCTGCAAAAATGGAACTGTAGAGGAGAGTCTCCTGAACAAGCCAGTACTTGCCGCATATGTTGCTTAAGTCGCATTGACTGACCGTCTGTGCAGGGTTCCATACTTCACACTTTAACAACACAACCATTCAATGCTAAGGCTTCCTGGCAAAAATGGAACTGTAGAGGAGAGTCTACTGAACAAGCCAGTACCTGCTGCATACGTTGCTTAAGTTGCATTGGCTGACCGTCTGCGCAGGGTTCCATACTTCACACTCTAACAACACAACCGTTCAATGCTAAGGCTTCCTGCCAAAATGGAACTGTAGAGGAGAGGCTACTGAACAAGCCAGTAACTGCCGCATGCATTGCTTAAGTTGCATTGACTGACTGTTTGCACAGGGTTCCATACTTCGCACTTTAACAACACAACCGTTCAATGCTAAGGCATCCTATCAAAATGGAACGGTAGAGGAGAGTCTACTGAACAAGCCAGTACCTGTCGCATACCACTACTGCCATCTGTTGAGGAGTTACAAAGGTCCTTTCAATACTAAGGCTTCCCGCCAAAATGGAACTGTAGAGGAGAGTCTCCTGAACAAGCCAGTACTTGCCGCATATGTTGCTTAAGTCGCATTGACCGACCATCTGCGCACGGTTCCATACTTCGCACTTTAACAACACAACCGCTCAATGCTAAGGCTTTCCACCGAAATGGAACGGTAGAGGAGAGACTACTGAACAAGCCAGTACCTGCCGCATACGTTGCTTAAGTTGCATTGACTGACCATCTGCGCAGGGTTCCATACTTCACACTTTAACAACACAACCGTTCAATGCTAAGGCTTCCCACCAAAATGGAACTGTAGAGGAGAGTCTATTGAACAAGCCAGCACCTTCCACATACCAGGACTGCCATCTGTTGAGGAGTTACAAAGGTCTGTTCAATGCTAAGGCTTCCTGCCAAAATGGAACTGTCTAGTGGAGAGTCTACTGAACAAGCCAGTACCTGCCGCATACGTTGCTTAAGTTGCATTGACTGACTGTCTGCGCAGGGTTCCATACTTCACGCTTCACAACACAACCATTCAATGCTAAGGCTTCCCACCAAAATGGAACTGTAGAGGAGAGTCTACTGAACAAGTCAGTACCTGCCGCATATGTTGCTTAATTTTCATTGACCGACGGTCTCTCAGCACAAAGTCACTTTAATCTAAGCACTTTAGTTCCTGCTAAATCTCATATCATTACTCTAAGCACTTTAGATCTTGCTAGATTCCATACCTCGACTAAGTGGTCCAAAATCCTAGGTCAAGTGGTCATAGCCATTGCACTTTATGTTCTGTTCTTTGGGTTCCTGCTAACTGTTTACATCAGCATACTACCTCTAGGTCAATGTTCACTTTACCTTTGCTGCTATTGATATCCCTCCAATTTCCAGCGCAAGTGCACTTTATAACAACTTTAGCACAAGTGTACTTTATAGCATCAACACAAGTGCACTTTACAGCCTTTGCTACACTGGAAGGAATAAATAGCATTGAGAGGTGGGAATATTGGGACCCAGAGACAGATAATCAGTACTATGAGTATGCGCCCACAACTGAGATTACAACTGCTGGAAATGGAGGGAACGTCCCCGAGGGGGGTGGGGCTGTGGGTGGAGGGGCCGCCATAGAGGTGGTGACTGGGAGAGGGAGATACGGGAAAGGGAGTATAAAACATTCATTTCGGCCCAAAATTCTCAATAACAAATTGGCAACCTCCAAAGATCTTAGAAATCAAAGACAAAAGCAAATTCGACCCAAAATTCTAAATAGGACATTGACAACTCCAAAAATTAATGTTACTATTCGGCCCGAAATTAATAATGATAATTTGACAACCCCAAAACTCACTCCTGACAATATACAACTGAGGTGCCAGGATGGTGGCCCCTCCAAGCTAAAGGTGGTGCTGTTCAATGCCAGGTCGGTAAATGGAAAATCTTCTATCATTCAAGATCTAATCCAAGAAGAACGAGCCGACCTGGCTTGTATAACGGAGACCTGGTTGGACGAGGGGGGAGGGGTCAATCTCTCCCAACTCTGTCCACCAGGTTATTCCGTTCAGCACCAGCCAAGGCTTGGAGGGCGGGGAGGCGGAGTCGCAGTGGTCTATAAGGACTTTATTCCACTGATCAGGTGTCCCATCCCACAATCATCTTCCTTTGAATGTGCCGGCTTCAGGATAGGTGACCGGGACAGGATAGGGATTCTGTTAGTGTACCGACCACCCCGCTGCACTACAGTCTCCCTACCTGAGCTAGCGGGAGTGGTCTCGGACATGGCGTTGAGCTTCCAACGGCTCTTGGTCTTGGGAGATTTCAACGTCCATGCCGAGGCCCCTCTTTCTGGTGCGGCTCAGGACTTCATGGCCGCCATGGCAACCATGGGCCTGTCCCAATTAATATCTGGTCCCACCCATAGTGCCGGGCACACTTTAGATTTGGTTTTTGCCCAGGGATGGGATGAAGGTGACGGGATGGAGGAGCCGACCATCGCCCCATTGCCATGGACCGATCACCACCTGATCAGTTTTAGACTAACTGGGCCTCCTAACCTCTGCAGGGGTGGTGGACCCATTAGAATGGTCCGCCCCAGGAGACTTATGGATCCAAATGGACTCCTGACGGCTCTTGGGGATCTTTCCACCTCCTTGGCTAGTGATACTGTCGATGCTCTGGTCTCTCGTTGGAATAATGAGTTGACCAGGGCAATTGACACTATCGCTCCGGAACGCCCCCTCTCGAGTAACCGAGCTAAACCAGCCTCTTGGTTTACCGAGGAGCTGGCAGCGATGAAGCGAAAGAAGAGGAGGTTAGAGTGCGTGTGGCGCCAGAATCCCACCAATCCAGCCCAAACACACCTGAATGCCTTTTTAAGGTCCTACGGTGTGGCAATAGCGGCAGCTCAGAAAACATTCATCACAGCCAATATTGCATCAGCGAAGAATCGTCCAGCGGAGCTTTTCCGAGTTGTCAGGGGCCTGTTAAATCCGCCAAAAAGCGAGGCCTCGGACAACTCGGTGGCTCGCTGTGAAGCATTTGCTCGATCCTTCGCGGATAAAATTGAGCGGATCCGGTCGGGTTTTGGCGTCATGTTAACGGCAGTCTCTGGGGATGTAACGAGAGCATCTGCTTGTCCAGTTTTGTTGGATTCGTTTCAATTGGTTCAGCTTGAGGATGTGGACAGGATCCTTGGAGAGGTGCGACCCACCACATGCATCCTAGACCCCTGCCCTTCCTGGCTGATCAAGGAAGCCAGAGGGGGTTTGGCAGAGTGGGTGAAGGTGATGGTTAATGCCTCCTTACAGGAAGGAAAATTTCCAGTGAGCTTAAAACAAGCTATTATAAAACCGCTGTTGAAGAAACCATCACTGGATCCCACTCAATTTGACAACTATCGGCCTGTTTCCAATCTCCCCTACTTGGGCAAGGTCATGGAACGTGTGGTGGCAACACAACTCCAGGGGTTTCTGGTAGACACTGATTATCTAGACCCGGCACAGTCTGGCTTTAGGCCGGGACATGGAACTGAGACAGCCTTGGTCGCCTTGGTAGATGATCTACGCAGGGAGCTAGACAGGGGGAGTGTGTCCCTGTTAGTTCTGCTGGACCTCTCAGAGGCCTTCGATACCGTCGATCACGGTATCCTTCTGGGCCGCCTCATGGATATGGGGCTCGGAGGCACTGCTCTGCGGTGGCTTCGATCCTTCCTTGAGGGACGGACCCAGAAGGTGTTACTGGGTGACACCTGTTCGGCCCCACAACCGTTGTTGTGTGGAGTCCCACAGGGTTCTATCTTGTCCCCGATGTTATTTAACATCTACATGAAGCCGCTGGGAGAGATCATTCGGAGTTTCGGACTAAGATGCTATCTCTATGCAGATGACGTCCAAATCTGTCACTCCTTCTCACCTGTCACCAAGGAGGCTGTCCAGACCTTGAACCGGTGTTTAGCCGCTGTATCGGACTGGATGAGAGCTAACAAATTGAAATTGAATCCAGACAAGACAGAGGTCCTACTGGTCAGTCGGAAGGCCGAACAGGGTATAGGGTTACAGCCTGTGTTAGACGGGGTTACACTCCCCCTGAAGACACAGGTTCGCAGCTTGGGAGTGATCCTGGACTCATCGCTGAGCCTGGAGCCCCAGGTCTCAGCGGTGGCCGGGAGAGCTTTCGCACAATTAAAACTTGTGCGCCAGCTGCGCCCGTACCTTGGGAAGTCGGATCTGGCCACGGTGGTCCACGCTCTTGTCACATCCCGGTTGGATTACTGCAACGCACTCTACGTGGGGTTGCCTTTGAAGACTGCTCGGAAACTTCAACTAGTCCAGCGAGAAGCAGCCAGATTGCTCACCGGAGCGGCGTACAGGGAGCATCCCACCCCCCTGTTGCGTCAGCTCCACTGGCTGCCGATCCAATTCCGAGCACAATTCAAAGTGCTGGTTTTGACCTACAAAACCCTATACGGTTCCGGCCCAGTGTATCTGTCCGAACGGATCTCCCTCTACATCCCACCTCGAAGTTTAAGATCTTCTGGGGAGGCCCTGCTCTCGACCCCGCCAGTGGCACAAGTGAGACTGGCGGGGACGAGGAGCAGGGCCTTCTCAGTGGTGGCCCCCCACCTGTGGAACTCACTCCCCGGGGAGATCAGATCGACGACTTCCCTTCTAGCGTTTAGGAAAAAACTAAAGACCTGGATGTGGGACCAAGCTTTTGGCCATGCTGACAACTGATTAAAGGACCTATCGATAGACAAGGACAATGGAATGGAATGGATATATGGACTCTGATATATGGACTCTGACATGAGATAGTTTTTATGATTTTAATAGGTATTGATGTTTCATTTTAATTGTTGAACTGTTATATTTTGTATTGTTTGTTGTGTGATTTGGGCATCTAATTGTGCCTCCTTTGTAAGCCGCCCTGAGTCCCCCCCGGGGTGAGAAGGGCGGGGTATAAGTAGATGAAATAAATAAATAAATAAATAAATAGAGGAGAGGCTACTGAACAAGCCAGTGCCTGTCACATACCAGTACTGCCATCTATTGAGGAGTTACGAAGGTCCTTTCAATACTAAGCTTCCCACAAAAATGGAACTGTAGAGGAGAGTCTCCTGAACAAGCCAGTACTTGCCGCATATGTTGCTTAAGTCACGTTGACCGACAGTCTGCGCAGGGTTCCATACTTCACACTTTAACAACACAACCGTTCAATGATAATGCTTCCCACCAAAATGGAACGGTAGATGAGAGTCTACTGAACAAGCCAGTACCTGCCGCATATGTTGCTTAAGTACATCTGTGCACATACGTCTGTGCAGGGTTCCATTCCTCACACTTTAGCAACACAACCATTCAATGCTAAGGCTTCCTGCCAAAATGGAACTGTAGAGGAGAGTCTACTGAACAAGCCAGTACCTGCCGCATACGTTGCTTAAGTCGCATTGACCGACCATCTGCGCAGGGTTCCATACTTTGCACTTTAACAACACAACCGTTCAATGCTAAGGCTTCCTGCCAAAATGGAACTGTAGAGGAGAGTCTACTGAACAAGCCAGTACCTGACGCATACCAGTACTGCTGGTGAAGGTGGATGCATTACTTTTCATTCAACCCCGGTATATAGATTAACAAATAAATAGCGAAAGGCCAAAATCAAGAGAGTAAATAAGGAAAGAGGAGAACTCCAGACCACCAGCGATGCCCCCCCCCCCCCCGCCCCAAATTGCAGAAAGGATACAGAGCCGGTTCATGGCCTCTCCGGCCGGGTGGACCAGGCACCCCTTGTGGGCGAGGGGGCCGTCCAGCCAGGCCAGGGCCCCCCCCGCAGGGCGGTCCTCGAAGGAGAGGCCCCTCCAGCGCTGGGCCAGGTCCTGGTGCACGCCCTCCGCCACCGGCACCAGCGGCACCTCGAAGAGCCAGTCCCGCCAGAGGTTGGCCACCAGGCGCAAGCGGTGCCGGGACGCAAAGCGGGTGCAGCTGCAAGGCGGAGAGAGAGAGAGAGAGAGTGAAGCCTGGGAGATGCCACTCTATCATAGATATTTCTCCTCTCATGTTGTCAAAGGGTTTCATGGCTGGAATCACTGGCTGCTGTTGAATTTTCTGGGCTGCATGGCCATATTCCAGCAGCATTCTCTCCTGATGTTTCACCTGCACCTGTGGCAAGATGCACCGCCTCCTCCTACCTCATATGATGGAACAAATCAAGAACTTTGGCCCAAAAGCAAGGCGCTGGCTGCTGGAGCTGATGAACAACTGCACGGCATCCTGTCAGATCCCCAAAATCTGGAGGAAAGCAAGAGTCATCGCCATCCTGAAGCCAGGCAAAGACCGCAATGACCCAAAAAGCTATAGACCAATCTCCCTGTTGTGCCACCTCTACAAAGTTCTGGAGAGACTTATTCTGCATAGAATTACGGAAAAAATAGACCCCTTCCACCTCTAGGAAAGGCAAAAGCTGCACATCGCAAGTGCTGAACCTGACTCAGCACATCGAAGATGGCTTTGAAAGGCAGCAGATCACAGGAACTGTCTTCATAGACCTGTCAGCAGCTTATGATACTGTGAACCACCGCCTCCTCCTGAGAAAAATGTATAATATCACAAAGGACGACCACCTCACCCGCCTCATAGGAAACCTGCTACAAAACAGGAGCTTCTTTGTTGAGTTCCAGGGCCAGAGAAGCAGATGGCGGAAACAGAAGAACGCCTGCCTCAGGGGAGCGTGCTTGCTCAATCCATGTTCAACATCTACACAAATGACCAGCCACTGCCAGAAGGGACAGAGAGTTTCATCTATGCTGATGATCGTGCCATTACCGCTCAAGCAGGGAGCTTTGAGATGGTTGAACAGAAGCTCTCCGAAGCTCTAGGTGCTCTTACTGCCTATTACAGGGAAAACCAGCTGATCCCTAATCATATATCATATATATAATATCACACAGGATGACCACCTCACCCGCCTCATAGGAAACCTGCTACAAAACAGGAGCTTTTTTGTTGAGTTCCAGGCCAGAGAAGCAGATGGCGGAAACAGAAGAACGGCCTGCCTCAGGGGAGCGTGCTTGCTCCATCCATGTTCAACATCTACACAAATGACCAGCCACTGCCAGAAGGGACAGAGAGCTTCATCTATGCTGATGATCGTGCCATCACCACTCAAGGAAATCAGCTACCAAACAGGAGCTTTTTTGTTGAGTTCCAGGGCCAGAGAAGCAGATGGCGGAAACAGAAGAACGGCCTGCCTCAGGGGAGCGTGCTTGCTCCATCCATGTTCAACATCTACACAAATGACCAGCCACTGCCAGAAGGGACAGAGAGCTTCATCTATGCTGATGATCGTGCCATCACCGCTCAAGGAAATCAGCTACCAAACAGGAGCTTTTTTGTTGAGTTCCCGGGTCAGAGAAGCAGATGGCGGAAACAGAAGAACGGCCTGCCTCAGGGGAGCGTGCTTGCTCCATCCATGTTCAACATCTACACAAATGACCAGCCACTGCCAGAAGGGACAGAGAGCTTCATCTATGCTGATGATCGTGCCATCACCGCTCAAGGAAATCAGCTACCAAACAGGAGCTTTTTTGTTGAGTTCCCGGGCCAGAGAAGCAGATGGCGGAAACAGAAGAACGGCCTGCCTCAGGGGAGCGTGCTTGCTCCATCCATGTTCAACATCTACACAAATGAACAGCCACTGCCAGAAGGGACAGAGAGCTTCATCTATGCTGATGATCGTGCCATCACCGCTCAAGGAAATCAGCTACAGGAGCTCTTTTGTTGAGTTCCAGGGCCAGAGAAGCAGATGGCGGAAACAGAAGAACGGCCTGCCTCAGGGGAGCGTGCTTGCCCCATCCATGTTCAACATCTACACAAATGACCAGCCACTGCCAGAAGGGACAGAGAGACTTCATCTATGCTGATGATCGTGCCATCACCGCTCAAGGAAATCAGCTACCAAACAGGAGCTTTTTTGTTGAGTTCCCGGGCCAGAGAAGCAGATGGCGGAAACAGAAGAACGGCCTGCCTCAGGGGAGCGTGCTTGCTCCATCCATGTTCAACATCTACACAAATGACCAGCCACTGCCAGAAGGGACAGAGAGCTTCATCTATGCTGATGATCGTGCCATCACCGCCCAAGCAGGGAGCTTTGAGATGGTTGAACAGAAGCTCTCCGAAGCTCTAGGTGCTCTTACTGCAGTTTGAAGCCATTGATCCGCGTCCTAGTCTCCAGGGAAGCAGAAAACAAGCTTGCTCCCTCCTCCTCCTCCCTGTGGCTTCCTCTCACATATTTATACATGGCCCTCATCATGTCTCCTCTTATCCTTCTCTTCTTCAGGCTAAACATGCCCAGCTCCTTAAGCCACTCCTCATACACCCCGTACCTGATATGAAAGTGGCCTAACTTTGGGAGAAGGGCCTGCAATGCTGACTCTGGGGTCTCTGGGGCTTGGAGGGGGCGGGGTTTGGAGGGGAAGAAGAAGGAGGGGGAGGAGGTAAGATTGGGGAAGAAGAAGGAGGAGGAGGATCCAGGGAAGTCCTGCTCCCCATGCTCTATTCCGCCTTGGTTAGACCACTTTACCTGGAATATTGTGTCCAATTCTGGGTACCACAATTCAAGAGAGATATTGACTCAGCTGGAATGTGTCCAGAGGAGGGCGACTAAAATGATCAAGGGTCTGGAGAACAAGCCCTATGAGGAGCGGCTTAAGGAGCTGGGCATGTTTAGCCTGAAGAAGAGAAGGCTGAGAGGAGATATGATAGCCATGTATAAATATGTGAGAGGAAGTCACAGGGAGGAGGAGGGAGCAAGCTTGTTTTCTGCTTCCCTGGAGACTAGGACGCAGAACAATGGCTTCAAACTACATCTGAACATGAGGAAGAACTTCCTGACTGTGAGAGCCGTTCAGCAGTGGAACTCTCTGCCCAGAGTGTGGTGGAGGCTCCTTCTTTGGAAGCTTTTAAACAGAGGCTGGATGGCCATCTGTCAGGGGTGATTTGAATGCAATATTCCTGCTTCTTGGCAGAATGGGGTTGGGCTGGAGGATGGCCCAGGAGGTCTCTTCCAACTCTTTGATTCTATGATTCTAAGAACTTCCTGACTGTGAGAGCCGTTCAGCAGTGGAACTCTCTGCCCGGAGTGTGGTGGAGGCTCCTTCTTTGGAAGCTTTTAAACAGAGGCTGGATGGCCATCTGTCGGGGTGCTTTGAATGCAATTCCTGCTTCATGGCAGAATGGGGTTGGCGGACTGATGGCCCACAGGGTCTCTTCCAACTCTAGGATTCTATTCTATGTGTCAGCAGTGGAACTCTCTGCCCGGAGTGTGGTGGAGGCTCCTTCTTTGGAGCTTTTAAACAGGGGCTGGATGGCCATCTGTCAGGGGTGATTTGAATGCAATATTCCTGCTTCCTGGCAGAATGGGGTTGGGCTGGAGGATGGCCCATGAGGTCTCTTCCAACTCTTTGATTCTAGAATTCTATGAAGCAACTATACCATTGAATGTAATGCACACATGTAATGGTCACAACAACATCGGTTATAGAACTCCAATATGCTGATGATAACATAGTCTATGCTCATTCAGAAGAATTGCTTTCAATTCTGTTGTTATTTGTTTTATCTGATGTTTTAATTGGTTAAAGTATTTTATATGTGTGTTTTAATTGTAATCTTGGGCGTGTCCCTTGCGCACCTCTACAGTGTTCCCTCGCTTATTGCAGAGGTTACATTCCAAGACCACCCGCGGTAAGTGAAAAACCATAATGTAGGGACAGAATTGAAAAGTTGACCACAGATCCCAAGTGTAGACTTTGCAAGGAAGCAGATGAAACAATAGATCCCATCCTGAGCTGCTGCAAGAAGATCACGCAGACAGACTCCAAGCAGAGGCACAACACCCTTGCTCAGGTGATTCATTGGAACTTGTGCCACAAACACCATTTGCCTGCGACAAAGAACTGGTGGGATCACAAGCCGGAAAAAGTAACAGAAAATAAACACGCCAAGCTACTCTGGGACTTCCAGATTCAGACAGACAGAGTTTTGGAGCACAACACTCCTGACTGAACTTCCTGACTGTGAGAGCCGTTCAGCAGTGGAACTCTCTGCCCCGAGAGTGTGGTGGAGGCTCCTTCTTTGGAAGCTTTTAAACAGAGGCTGGATGGCCATCTGTCAGGGGTGATTTGAATGCAATATTCCTGCTTCTTGGCAGAATGGGGTTGGACTGGATCATGGCCCAGGAGGTCTCTTCCAACTCTTGGATTCTAGGATTCTATGACAGTTTCAACAGAAAGGAGGAAACTATGAAAATGAGCAAAATCCGGCTACCGGCATTTAAAACCACCAGAATCAAGACAGTAAATAAGGAAACAGGAGAACTCCAGACCACAAGCGATCAAGTGCCAGTCCACACTTTCCAGAGGATCCCTCAGGCAACAACAGCCAGGCTACCCCTATGCAGAGACCCTCACTGATTGACTTTGCAGCTTCATGGCTACTCAATGCTATCTCCTTTTCGTCTATGTCCCATCATTATTTCCAATTTTAAATGTACATTTGGCCTTCCCAAATTGTGTGTTGTCTTAGTGATAATGTTGTATATTTTTATTGTCTATGTTTTTTTTATTTTTAATTGCTTGTACTGTTGCTTATTGTTTGTATTGTTGTGTTTGGGCTCGGCCTCATGTAAGCCACACCGAGTCCCTTGGGGAGATGGTAGCAGGGTACAAATAAAGTGTTGTTGTTGTTTGTTGTTGTTTGTTGTTGGTGGTTGTTGGTGGTTGGTTGGTGGTTGGTTGGTGGTTGGTTGGTGGGTGGTTGGTGGTTGGTTGGTGGTTGGTTGGTGGTTGGTTGGTGGGTGGTTGGTTGGTGGTGGTTGGTGGTGGTTGGTTGGTGGTTGGTTGGTGGTTGGTTGGTTGGTTGGTGGTGGTTGGTTGGTTGGTTGGTGGTGGTTGGTTGGTTGGTGGTGGTTGGTTGGTGGTTGGTTGGTGGGTGGTTGGTTGGTGGTTGGTGGTGGTTGGTGGTTGGTTGGTTGGTTGGTTGGTGGTGGTTGGTTGGTTGGTTGGTGGTGGTTGGTTGGTTGGTGGTGGTTGGTTGGTGGTTGGTTGGTGGTGGGTGGTTGTTGTTGTTGTTATTATTATTATTATTCAAGCTGGCCAACTGCAACACTCACCCTTGCTTCCAACAGACAAGGGTTCTTTCTCCCACCCTGGACATCATTCCACAGGGATATATACACACTCCACTTGCCTCACTAGCAACAGACCTCTAAAGATGCCATTAGCCACAGATGCAGGTGAAACATCAGGAGGGAATGCTGCTGGAACATGGCCAGACAGCCCAGAAAACTCACAGCAACCCAGACTTTTTTCCCTCCCTCTGCAAGTGTTTGTGAGTCCCTGCAACTGGTGAAAGTGAAGTAAATCCCACCTGAAGAGGATTCAGGAGCCTCTTTGTTGCCCACCCACTCGTGTTGCCTACGACAGGCAGGAAGGGGCACCGACCTGGAGCTGCAAGGCTGTTTGTCCAGGTCCCTCAGGATGCGGGCCACACAGCAGACTTTACCCTGCGACTTGACCTGCGGGGAGGAGACGGAAGCACGGCCTGAGAAAGGATTTTCAGGCATTATTTATTTACAGCCTTTATCAAGGGTCTGGAGAACAAGCCCTATGAGGAGCGGCTTAAGGAGCTGGGCATGTTTAGCCTGAAGAAGAGAAGGCTTTTCTCACCCCTGGTGGGACTCAAAGTGGTTTACACAGAGATGGCAAAATTCAGGGCCTTGCATTGGGCACCTGACACGATGCCAATACACAACAGTTACAATAAAAACCACAATTAGCCTAAATCATAAATTAAACGATACATCAACAGCATCGAAATAAATAAAAATGTAATGTTCGTTTGTGGGGTGAACAGAACTCAAAAACCACTGGGTGAATCGATACCAAATTTGGACACAAGACACCTAAAAACCCAATGTATGTCCTTCACTCAAAAAAAATTGATTTTGTCCTTTGGGAGTTGTAGTTGCTGGGATTTATAGTTCACCTACAATCAAAGAGCATGATAGAATTGAACTAACCGGGGCACACGGGACTCCCATGACCAACAGAAAATACTGGAAGGGTTTGGTGGGCATTGACCTTGAGTTTGGGAGTTGTAGTACATCCATATGCCCAACTAAGAACACAGTTGGGGTTTGGGGGAAATAGACCTTGACATTTGGGAGTTGTAGTTGTTGGGATTTATAGTTCACCTACAATCAAAGAGCATTCTGAACCCCACAAGTGATAGAATTGGGGCAAACTTCCCATACAGAACCTCTATGACCAACAGAAAATACTGGAAGGGTTTGGTGGGCATTGACCTTGAGTTTGGGAGTTGTAGTACACCTACATCCAGAGAGCACTGTGGACTCAAACAATGATGTTTGAGTGATGGATCTGGACCAAACTTGGCAAGAATATTCCATATGGCCAAATATGAACACAGATGGAGTTTGGGGGAAATAGGCATTGACATTTGGAAGTTGTAGTTGTTGGGATTTATAGTTCACCTACAATCAAAGAGCATTCTGAACCCCATCAACGATGGAATTGAACCAAACTTGGCACACAGAACTCAGATAACCAACAGGAAACACTGGAAGGGTTTAGTGGGCATTGACCTTGAGTTTGGGAGTTGTAGTACATCCATATGCCCAACTAAGAACACAGATGGGGTTTGGGGGAAATACACCTTGACATTTGGGAGTTGTAGTTGTTGGGATTTATAGTTCACCTACAATCAAAGAGCATTCTGAACCCCACAAGTGATAGAATTGGGGCAAACTTCCCATACAGAACCTCTATGACCAACAGAAAATACTGGAAGGGTTTGGTGGGCATTGACCTTGAGTTTGGGAGTTGTAGTACACCTACATCCAGAGAGCACTGTGGACTCAAACAATGATGGATCTGGACCAAACTTGGCACGAATATTCCATATGCCCAACTAAGAACACAGATGGGGTTTGGGGGAAATACATTGACATTTGGGAGTTGTAGTTGTTGGGATTTATAGTTCACCTACAATCAAAGAGCATTCTGAACCCCACAATGACAGAATTGGGGCAAACTTCCCACACAGAACCCCCATGACCAACAGAAGCTACTTAAGGCCATCCAGTCCAACTCTCTTCATCAGGGGAAGAAAATGTAATCAAAGCCCTCCTGACAGAGAGCCATTCAGCCATAGATATAGATAAATAGATAGATATGATTCTCTCTCACACACATAGATATAGTATCATAGATTGGAAAGGGACCCCTAAAGAAGGACGACGATATGTTGCATATTCCAGGGTGGGCAAACCAGGCACTCTCCACATCAACACTGACAAAGAAACAGCAAGAAATAGTGTTTACCCACAAACAGAAATTACGTATATTAGAAACCATTTGGCTTTTAAAGTCCCTTCTACTGTGTTTCCCAGTGTTTTTATGAGCGATGGTCACTCGTTGGCCTGAGAGGCGTCTTGTGTCCAAATTTGGTGTCAGTTCGTCCATTGGTTTTTGAGTTGTGTTAATCCCACAAACAAGCATTATATTTTTTTATATATATAGATGTTTCCCTTACAAGGCCTTCCATCTCGCTTAGGTATTTCTTTCATTTTGCTACTGTATGCATTTTATTCTGATGTATTTTTGTTGTTGTCTGCATTCTGTATTTTATTTTGCTGTATTGTATCTTTGGACAGAATAGAGAGATGGGCCAAAACTAACAAAATGAAGTTCAACAGTGACAAATGCAAGATACTCCACTTTGGCAGAAAAAATGAAATGCAAAGAGACAGAATGGGGGACGATAAGGCCTGGATCGAGAGCAGTACGTGTGGAAAAGATCTTGGAGTCCTTGACAGATTGGAGAGATGATGGGCCAAAACTCACAAAATGAAGTTCAACAGTGACAAATGCAAGATACTCCACTTTGGCAGAAAAAATGAAATGCAAAGAGACAGAATGGGGGACGATAAGGCCTGGATCGAGAGCAGGACGTGTGGAAAAGATCTTGGAGTCCTTGACAGATTGGAGAGATGATGGGCCAAAACTCACAAAATGAAGTTCAACAGTGACAAATGCAAGATACTCCACTTTGGCAGAAAAAATGAAATGCAAAGAGACAGAATGGGGGACGATAAGGCCTGGATCGAGAGCAGGATGTGTGGAAAAGATCTTGGAGTCCTTGACAGATTGGAGAGATGATGGGCCAAAACTCACAAAATGAAGTTCAACAGTGACAAATGCAAGATACTCCACTTTGGCAGAAAAAATGAAATGCAAAGAGACAGAATGGGGGACGATAAGGCCTGGATCGAGAGCAGGACGTGTGGAAAAGATCTTGGAGTCCTTGACAGATTAGAGAGATGGGCCAAAACTAACAAAATGAAGTTGAACAGTGACAAATGCAAGATACTCCACTTTGGCAGAAAAAATGAAATGCAAAGAGACAGAATGGGGGACAATAAGGCCTGGATCGAGAGCAGGATGTGTGGAAAAGATCTTGGAGTCCTTGACAGATTGGAGAGATGATGGGCCAAAACTCACAAAATGAAGTTCAACAGTGACAAATGCAAGATACTCCACTTTGGCAGAAAAAATGAAATGCAAAGAGACAGAATGGGGGACGATAAGGCCTGGATCGAGAGCAGGACGTGTGGAAAAGATCTTGGAGTCCTTGACAGATTGGAGAGATGATGGGCCAAAACTCACAAAATGAAGTTCAACAGTGACAAATGCAAGATACTCCACTTTGGCAGAAAAAATGAAATGCAAAGAGACAGAATGGGGGACGATAAGGCCTGGATCGAGAGCAGGATGTGTGGAAAAGATCTTGGAGTCCTTGACAGATTGGAGAGATGATGGGCCAAAACTCACAAAATGAAGTTCAACAGTGACAAATGCAAGATACTCCACTTTGGCAGAAAAAATGAAATGCAAAGATACAGAATGGGGGACATGCCTGGCTCGAGAGCAGTACGTGTGAAAAAGATCTTGGAGTCCTCGTGGACAACAAGTTAAACATGAGCCAACAATGTGATGTGGCGGCAAAAAAAGCCAATGGGATTTTGGCCTGCATCAAGAGGAGCCTAGTGTCTAGATCTAGGGAAGTCATGCTCCCCATGCTCTCTTCTGCCTTGGTTAGACCACTTTACCTGGAATATTGTGTCCAATTCTGGGCACCACAATTCAAGAGAGATATTGACAAGCTGGAATGTGTCCAGAGGAGGGCAACACAAATGATCAAGGGTCTGGAGAACAAGCCCTATGAGGAGCGGCTTAAGGAGCTGGGCATGTTTAGCCTGAAGAAGAGAAGGCTGAGAGGAGATATGAGCCATGTATAAATATGTGAGAGGAAGCCACAGGGAGGAGGGAGCAATCTTCCTTTCTGCTTCCCTGGAGACTAGGACGCAATGGAGCAATGGCTTCAAACTACAAGAGAGGAGATTCCATCTGAACATGAGGAAGAACTTCCTGACTGTGAGAGCCGTTCAGCAGTGGAACTCTCTTCCCCGGAGTGTGGTGGAGGCTCCTTCTTTGGAAGCTTTTAAACAGAGGCTGGATGGCCATCTGTCAGGGGTGATTTGAATGCAATATTCCTGCTTCTTGGCAGAATGGGGTTGGACTGGATGGCCCATGAGGTCTCTTCCAACTCTTTGATTCTATGATTCTATGACTGGGAGAGCCGTTCAGCAATGGAACTCTCTTTTGCGGAGATGGTGGTGGGGTATCCATAAAGATGATGATGATTATGATGATGATGATTATTATTAGGCAAATCACGATGTTCAGCCATCTACTTTCTGCCAAATTCTCCAAGGCAGGCCATTTGAAAGCCTTTCTGATCCGATTAGTTGGGATATCTGTTGTGGCCTGGTCAGATTCTGAGTGTTCAGATGAGGAGGAAGGGGATGCTGGGAGAGATTCAGAGGACCCAGGGAGACATGTTTTGGAATCTTCCAGCACCAATCATAGAATAGAATAGAATCCTAGAGTTGGAAGAGACCTCATGGGCCATCCTCCAGTCCAACCCCATTCTGCCAAGAAGCAGGAATATTGCATTCAAAGCACCCCCGACAGATGGCCATCCAGCCTCTGTTTAAAAGCTTCCAAAGAAGGAGCCTCCACCACACTCCGGGGCAGAGAGTTCCACTGCTGAACGGCTCTCACAGTCAGGAATTCTTCCTCAGAATCAAAGAGTTGGAAGAGACCTCCTGGGCCATCCTCCAGTCCAACCCCATTCTGCCAAGAAGCAGAATATTGCATTCAAATCACCCCTGACAGATGGCCATCCAGCCTCTGTTTAAAAGCTTCCAAAGAAGGAGCCTCCACCACACCTTCCGGGGCAGAGAGTTCCACTGCTGAACGGCTCTCACAGTCAGGAAGTTCTTCCTCATGTTCAGATGGAATCTCCTCTCTTGTAGTTTGAAGCCATTCCTCCATGGCGTCCTAGTCTCCAGGGAAGCAGAAAGGAAGCTTGCTCCCTCCTCCTCCCTGTGGCTTCCTCTCACATATTTATACATGGCTCATCATGTCTCCTCTCAGCCTTCTCTTCTTCAGGCTAAACATGCCCAGCTCCTTAAGCCGCTCCTCATAGGGCTTGTTCTCCAGACCCTTGATCTGCTCCCTCCTCCCTGTGGCTTCCTCTCACATATTTATACATGGCGCTCATCATATCTCCTCTCAGCCTTCTCTTCTTCAGGCTAAACATGCCCAGCTCCTTAAGCCGCTCCTCATAGGGCTTGTTCTCCAGACCCTTGATCTGCTTCCTCCTCCCTGTGGCTTCCTCTCACATATTTATACATGGCTATCATATCTCCTCTCAGCCTTCTCTTCTTCAGGCTAAACATGCCCAGCTCCTTAAGCCGCTCCTCATAGGGCTTGTTCTCCAGACCCTTGATCTGCTCCCTCCTCCCTGTGGCTTCCTCTCACATATTTATACATGGCTATCATCATATCTCCTCTCAGCCTTCTCTTCTTCAGGCTAAACATGCCCAGCTCCTTAAGCCGCTCCTCATAGGGCTTGTTCTCCAGACCCTTGATCTGCTTCCTCCTCCCTGTGGCTTCCTCTCACATATTTATACATGGCCCTCATCATATCTCCTCTCAGCCTTCTCTTCTTCAGGCTAAACATGCCCAGCTCCTTAAGCCGCTCCTCATAGGGCTTGTTCTCCAGACCTTTGATCTGCTCCCTCCTCCCTGTGGCTTCCTCTCACATATTTATACATGGCTATCATCATATCTCCTCTCAGCCTTCTCTTCTTCAGGCTAAACATGCCCAGCTTCTTAAGCCGCTCCTCATAGGGCTTGTTCTCCAGACCCTTGATCTGCTCCCTCCTCCCTGTGGCTTCCTCTCACATATTTATACATGGCTATCATCATATCTCCTCTCAGCCTTCTCTTCTTCAGGCTAAACATGCCCAGCTCCTTAAGCAGCTCCTCATAGGGATTGTTCTCTCATTTTAGTCGCCCTCTTCCTCTGGACACATTCCAGCTTGTCAATATCTCTCTTGAATTGTGGTGCCCAGAATTGGACACAATATTCCAGGTGTGGTCTAACCAAAGCAGAATAGAGCATGGGAGCATGACTTCCCTGGACCTAGACACTAGGCTCCTCTTGATGCAGGCCAAAATCCCATTGGCTTTTTTTGCCACCACATCACATTCCTGGCTCATGTTTAACTTCCTCCCCACGAGGACTCCAAGATCTTTTTCACACGTCCTGCTCTCGAGCCAGGCCTCATTGTCCCCCATTCTGTATCTTTGCATTTCGTTTTTCCTGCCAAAGTGGAGTATCTTGCATTTGTCCCTGTTGAACTTCATTATGTTAGTTTTGGCCCTTCATCTCTCTAATCTGTCAAGACTATTTTGAATTCTGCTCCTGCCTTCTGGAGTATTGGCTCTCCCTCCCAATTTGGTCCTGTCTGCAAACTTGATGATCCTGCCTTCTAGCCCTTCATCTAAGTCATGAATGAAGATCCTGAACAGGACCGGGCCCAGGACGGAACCCTGCGGATGGCACTCCACTTGTCACTTCTTTCCAGGATGAAGAGGAAGCCTTGGGGAGAATCACCCCCTGGGTTCATCCATTTAACCAATTCCAGATCCACCTCACCATAGTTTTGCCTCGCCCACATTGGACTGGTTTCCTTGCCAGAAGGTCATGGGGGACCTTGTCCAAGAAGGCCTTATGAAGATGGTGAACACCAGGGAGCGGGCAGTTAGGCAACCCTGATGGCCCAACGTTGTGTTGCAGAATCATCCTGTGGATATTGTGAAAACAGGACGTGTCTGTGTTTGTATGTAGGGTTGTGACATTACCCAAATGCTGGCATCAGAGGAAATGGGCCAATTTGGGGCAGAAACCAGTTTTTGGGATTTAAGGTTTGCCTTTAGAAAATCATGTCAGATCAGGCACCGTTTGGAAACCAAGCGCAAGCTTCATGGAATTCCTGTTCAAGTGATCTCGTCTTTATGTTTTTTTCTAACCTTTCAAGGCGACTAGCAGCGTCTGTTCTTGCTTCTTGTTTGATTCCTGTCTGGATAATCATTGCCTTGGGTTGTATTTTCATGCTTTTTGGACATTGCTTTTGATTGCTATATTTGGACACTGTTTTATCTTGCTGCCTTTGAATGCCTTATTGCTTTTTCGAATCTCATCTATCTTTACAAGCATTTATTTCTACTGGCTTTTTGCTAAACTTCTTGCTAAGCTTCACTCAACGTGTTGTGTGTTTATAGTCAGGGGGGCTCTTTCCCGTCCTGGAGTGCAACAGCAGACTCGTTGCGGTCCCTGCACCAATGCTCACATGCAGTATACACGTGTATTAGTAATCCCACTAAATATTAATTCTGGGCCACGAGGAGAGGTAGGTAAGAGATATAATAGTAATAGCAATAGTAATAATGATGTATGATGCTACTCACGGAGACACTGGAGTTTCCAAGGAAGAAGTTCTCCTGGAGGAGCCTCCCCATGGAGCCAAAGGCCACGTCCGGGTGGTCCATGAAGAGGGAGCCCAGCTGCGGGGACACATGGAGAAGGAGCATCAAAAAGGCTTCCATCTATAGCAGAAGTTTGGACTACAACTCCCACAATTCCTAACAGCCGGTAGGCTGTTAGGAATTGTGGGAGTTGGAGTCCAAAACACCTGGAGGGAGGGCTAATAATTAGGCATGCGCAGAGGGGACCCTGTAATGTCATCATGGGCCAACTTCGGCCCTCCAGGTGTTTTGGACTCCAACTCCCACAATTCCTAACAGCCGGTAGGCTGTTAGGAATTGTGGGAGTTGAAGTCCAAAACCCTGGATGGCATCAAAGAACTAAAATTTTTCCATGGCTGGTCTAGGTCGAGGTGGGGGGGGGACTAAATAGGGCGGCAGAAGTGGAAAATGACTGTGATGACGCGGTCCCCTTGCTCAGCTGTCCTCACCTAATTGGTGTACACGCAACTTCTCCGCCTCCAGGTGTTTGGGACTCCAGACTCCCAAAATGCCTAACAGCCTACCGGTCGTGTTATGACAGATCCATTGTGGGACGCGTGTCTGGCCGCAACAAAATATATAACCTAACAAGCCGTAGGACACTGGTTTGAGAGAATACAGGTGTTGTGGTATAGAGCGATGATCCAATGTAACACGCGTGGAGGTCTGAGCTGCTAAATAATTGGCATCGCAGAGGGGAACCCCCTCGTGACGTCTGTCCTATCACAGGTGTGAGCACCAACTTCTGCCTCAGGTGTTTTGGTGTGAATACCACCACATACAATCCCTCACACATCACTAACAAAGCCAGTATTAGGACATTGGTGGTGAGGAATGTATGAAGGGTGCTGTTGTGGAGGTGCGCGCGAAGCTCCACTAGAGAAAGCATGTGAGGGCCAGATAATATGTTAGGCGCCATGATCGACATTTACAGGTGGTCGACCCTTTACACTAGGGCATGGGCAAACTTCTGGCCCTCCAGGTGTTTTGGACTTCAACCTCCACAATTCCTAAAAGCCGGTAGGCTGTTAGGAATTGTGGAGTTGAAGTCCAAAATACCCTGGAGGAAGGGCATTGCACCTGCCTGAGATAACACTATGTATTCATGGGCCAACTTCGGCCCTCCATGTTTTGGACTTCCACTCCCCCAATTCCTAACCGCCTACCCGGCTGTTAGGAATTGTGGGAGTTTGGAGTCCAAAACACCTTCATATAATTGTGGCAGGGACCACTTTAAATCAGGTATGGGCAAACTTTGGCCCTCCAGGTGTTTTGGACTCTAACTCCCACAATTCCTAACAGCCAGGAGGCTGTTAGGAATTGTGGGAGTTGGAGTCCAAAACACCTGGAGGGAGGGCTAATAATTAGGCATGGGCTATCCATGGTTCTAAGTGGTTCTAAAGTACTTACAAAACTAGGGGGCGCTGGTGCTTTGCTTCTACAGTGTTGCTAAAGTTCTGGTGGTGAAAATTTCAGAACTCTAACAAAACTTTCAAAATTTCATTATAAATGGCAGTTCCTAATTGGTTCTGTCATAAAAATCACCAATAATGAAATAATAATGAAATTTTGAAAGTTTTGTTAGAGTTCTGAAATTTTCACCACCAGAACTTTAGCAACACTTAGAAGCTATTATTATTATTATTATTATTATTATTATTATTATTATTACCAGCGCCCTCTAGTTTTGTAAGTACTTTAGAACCATTTAGAACCATGGATTGCCCATGCCTACGTAATAATAATAACAACAGTTGGTACACCAGGAAACCCTACAGGCCACTTCCTTTTGCCCACCGACTCTGAAAGGTTGCAGGTTTGAATCCAGGGAGCGGGGTGAGCTCCCGCTGTTAGCCCCAGCTTCTGGCAACCTAGCAGTAAAAATATATGCAAATATGAGTAAATCAAAAGGTACCGCTAGGGAGATGGTGGCGGGGTATAAATAAACTTTTATTATTATTATTATTATTATTATTATTATTATTATTATAAATAATAAAATATAATAATAAATATTAATAAATAAATAATAAGGTCTAATGCAATGGCCAGAGTTCAATGCAATGCAATGCTGGGATCTGCAGTTTGGTAAGGCATCGGTCTTTTTTAGCAGAGAAGGGTCAATAGTTATAATATTTATAATATTATAACGTAATACAACAAAATACTGGTAATAATAATGCATTATTATAATTATATATTTATATTACATGTAATATTACTAACAATATTACAATATAATGGTATAGTGCAATATAGTAATACATAATGCTGATATTGTACTATGCTAATAATATAATATATGGGTTGTTGTAGGTTTTTCCGGGCTATATGGCCATGTTCTGGAGGCAATTTTTCTCCTGACGTTTCGCCTGCATCTATGGCAAGCATCCTCAGAGGTAATGAGGTCTGTTGGAAGTAGGAAAAATGGGTTTATATATCTGTGGAATGACCAGGGTGGAACATTTTTTCTGCTGGGGCTAGGTGTGAATGTTTCAGCTGATCACCTTGATTTGCATTCAATGGCTTGGAAGCGCCTGGGGGAATCTTTTGTTGAGAGTGATTTCATGTGCCTGTTTGTTTCCCCTCTGTTGTTTTGCTGTTGTAATTTTAGAGTTTTTTAATACT